TCCGCGTGCGCGCCAATCAACCCCACGCTACCCGCGTTCCGCCCACGCACGCCGTCCGCGCACATCACTCGCACATCCTCGTGCAGTCTTCCTTCGCTCGTTCCGCGCACACTACACTCCAGTGCGTGTACTTCTATCGTCTCTCGGGCCAACCTCTTGCCTGCGTGATATGCCCAGCTCGCTGCGTTCTTGAGCTGCCTAGCCACTTCTGCATCATTCCCGTCCCCTTCAAGTGAATCCTTGTCCTCAAGGATGAAATTCAGGAATTGATCGCGCATCTCATCAAGATCTTCCCAGGTGGCTTCTTCGGGTGGCAATTCTTCCCAATCAACTAGTACTTCCCAACGATAGCGTCTTGCTTTTCTTACCTTGCGATATTCAATTGCCCATTTCGGGCGCACGATGATCCTCCCATCAGTTGCAGTGGCTGGTAACACCTCACAATACTTCTGTGCTTCTCCTAGACTTCTTTTGAGTTGTGAGACATGTATAACCGGATGGATCTGTAAACTTTCTGGTAGCTCTAGACGATAAGCTACCTGACCAATGCGCTTCAGAATCTTATACGACCCATAATAGCGAACGCCCAGCTTAGTTGTGGCCCTTTGTGCTGTTGTGCGCTGTCTGAATGGTCGTAGCTTCAGATAGACGTACTCTCCTGGTAAAAATTTTTCCTCACGCGTCTTCCCATCTGCGAAGGACTTGGTCCGACTAATCGAGCCTTCGAGATTTTTCTTCAACTATCGCAACATCAGGTCTCGTTCCTCGAGCTCTCGACCAACCTAATCGTTGACTGTACTCCCCTCCGAATAGTTGATCAATGTCGGGGGTTTACGCCCATATACCAGCTCAAATGCGTCATCTTGGTCGACTCATGGTAAGTGGTGTTGTACCAATACTCAGCCCAAGGCAAAAAGTTTTCCCACCTCTTCGGAAATTGATGGACATATCACCTTAAGTACTGCTCAAGAGTTTGGTTGGTCACCTCAGTTTGTCCGTCTGTCTGTGGGTGGTAGGCTGAGCTCATAGATAACTTGGTCCCTTGCAGCTTAAAGAATTCGGACCAAAAGTTGCTCATAAAAATCTGGTCTCGATCAGAAACGATAGATCGTGGTGCTCCATTCAGCTTCATCACATACTCCACAAATAACCTGGCAATCGACTTTGCGGTGTAAGGATGAGTGATGGGTATGAAGTGAGCATACTTCGTGAGTCGATCTACCACGACCATAACACCATCGAACCCATTGGAACTCGGTAACCCTTCTATAAAGTCCATGGTAATGTCTTCCCAGATAGCCTCGGGTACCGGTAGAGGTTGTAGCAGTCCTCTCGGCCGTCGTGAGTCAGCCTTAGTGCGTTGACAGTCGTCGCATCGTGCGATGTAGTCACGAACCGTATTCTGCTGTCCCGGCCAAAAGAACGTATTGGCTATTCTCATCCATGTGAGATAGATACCCGAGTGGCCTCTAATCGTAGAATCGTGGAAGTGCTGTAAGATCTGCTCGCGTAACTGCCCACTGTCGGGAACAAATACTCGGCCTCGTTGTAGAAGCAGACCATTGTTCAACTCATAGTCAATAGCAGTCGTCTTACCTGCTTCTATCGCTTGGCGCAACTCCTGGCAATAAGCGTCCTCCTCTTGCGCCTTCCTGACTTCTTACCAAATAGTCCAAGACGGTCCAGTGATAGCATTCAGCTCGGCTACATCAGTCCGTCTGGATAGTGCATCAGCTACTGCATTCTGTCGACCAGACCGGTAGACTATCTCAAAATCGAACCCCATTAGTTTGGAAACGAACTTCTGCTGCTCGGGGGTAACAATCCTTTGCTCGAGTAGATGCTTGAGTGGCTGCTGTCTGCTGATCGGTCACAATCCGAAAGCGTCGGCCCAATAGATAAGGCCTCCAGCACCTTACAGTCTCTACAACTGCTAGCATCTACTTCACGTACATAGATAGACCCAATCGTGTAGTGCCTAGTGCCTTGCTGAGATAAGCTAAGGGTCGCCCTTCTTGCACTAACACAACTCTGATCCCAATGTCACTCGCATCGGTGTGTACCTCAAACAAGACATGAAACCTTGGCATGGCGAGCACTGGCGTTGTAGTCATGGCTACTTTCAGTTTCCCAAACGCCTCCTCGCTAGCTTCGGTCCATGTGAACCCGTCTTTCTTAGTCATCTCTGTCAGTGGCTTGGCGATGGTCCCATAATCCTTTACGAACTTTCTGTAGTAGCCCGTGAGTCCTAAAAATCCCCTTAGTTGTGTGAGACTTGTCGATTTAGGCCAATCGATCATAGCCTCAATCTTTCGTGGATCAACCTTCACGCCCTCGTGGGATATGAAATGCCCCAGATACTCAACCATCTTCTGCCCGAATGAACACTTGGATGGCTTGATGTGAAATGAGTTGGCCTCCAAGATTTTGAGCACTACTCTCAAATGCTCAAGATGCTCTCCCCACGACTTCGAATAAATCAGAATATCATCAAAGAATACCAGAACGAACTTACGTAGATACTCCTTGAAGATGGAATTCATAGCAAACTGAAAAGTGGATGGGGCGTTGCACAATCCGAATGGCATAACCAGATACTCATAGTGCCCATGGTGCGTACGAAATGCTGTCTTCGGAATGTCAGCCTTGTGGAGTCGAATCTGATGATAACCAGCTCTCAGGTCGAGCTTTGAGAAGTAACGTGATCCAGCTAACTCATCGAGCATGTTGTCGACGCTCGGAATGGGAAATCGATCCTTGATAGTTGCGGCATTCAGAGCTCGATAGTCAGTACAGAACCTCCACGTACCATCTTTCTTTTTAGCTAACAGGACTGGAGAAGAAAATGGACTATTGCTATGCTGGATTAGTCCTGACTCAAGCATCTCGACCACCTGCCGTTCGATCTCAGTTTTCTGAAAGTGAGCATACCTATAAGAATGGACATGTATGGCATGCTGCTCATTGATCAGGGGTATGCGATGATCGAACTCTCGGTGTGGTGGTAGTCCCTTAGGCTCGCCCAGTACTCCCTCAAATTCCTCGAGAAGCTCGCACACATCTCCTTGCTGTTGTTCATCTGGTCTATGTGCGCCTCGGTTTTCTCGACTACTACTGCAAATATTTGGCCTCCACCTCGCCAAACTTTTTCAGTGCTCTTAAGTCCTACCTCCTTGGTACCTTTTTCATTGCCAGTACTCAGAGTGACTTGTTGACCTCCAGAGTTGAACTCCATAATTCTCGTTTGATAGTCGGTAGTCACCTTGCCTAACCCTTCGAGCCACTGTACTTCCAGAACGACATCCGGTCCAACCAAAGGTAAGGCATAGAGGTCAGCCTCAACTGTAGCTCCGTTGAACTTGATTGGCACCTTCCAAAATGACTCAGTACATTGTAGCCTTTCTCCATTGGCCACTCGTACATCAAAGGGCTCGATTTTTGTGGTTGGTAAATTCAACTTTTGAGACAAATCAGCATTGATGAAATTATGTGATGACCCGTTGTCTACAAGTACGATTACCCTTCGATCCTTGACCCATGCTGGTAGTCGCATCGTTCTTGGCCCTCTGATTCCGGCCATAGCATGCATCGAGATCTCAGGTTCTTCATTAACTGCTTCCAAGTTGTCCTGTGGGTCCGCTTCTTCCTC